CCAGAGAATTTACATTCACCATAGCTCATATTCTTTTTTATTGATTCTCTAATAGTCTAACAAAGTTATTCAACTTCATTTAAAAGAAATCAGATTAAAACCTTAACTCGACTACAAAAAGTATAATCACTGTCGAAAGGTACTGATAAAGACTATGCACACACTCAGCAGTATTTTTAACGTTACATAATTCGCAGGAGAAATACACAAATGTCGTGGACATACTACTAAGATGTCCATGATATCTGACAAACAAAATAATCTAAAATAAAATAAAGTCATCGCTCTTCAGTTCTCTTATGCTCAAAATAATTTAGAACTTAGAACTTTTTAGACATTAAATTTTCCTTCGACAGCCTAATCAAAATTGTTTGGGCTTCGTTTTCTTTTTCTTTTCAAATACTTCCACATAAGAACGTAAAAATTACAGAAAAACAATGAAAACGAAAACTTCTGATATGGTTCTCTTGAAAATAAAGTCGTTCTTAAGATAGTTAAAACAATGAGTTTTACCCGGATTACTCTTCGGGAACATGATGCAATCAACGTGGATCCTTCACCCCAGACTCGCTTCGAGGTTGAATTTGAGATCTTTGCAAAGAAAATATCAATTAAGAGAAAGAACACAGAAAAAGTTCTGAGATATCGTGCATCTTTCGAGAAAGAAGATTCATTTCTGATGTACCCAAATTACTGAAGAAAAATTGCAACTGTATATCCTATTTTCTCACTCACTGGAACTGCTGGAACTTACTGTGCAAATCTTTACTTAATTCTACTTTGAAAAAGTTAAAAAAGCATTTATGAACTAAGTAGAAATAAGAAGTGCCTTATATAACAGACACTGATTTTTATCTCGTTTAAAATGAGAAGAAACAAGAATTTCAGGAATAGGACAGTATGAGAATCTGAAATTTTCCGAGGAACCTTATACTACAGGTTCGAATACCTGGTTAAAATTGCACGTTTCAACATTGAGATCAAATTTTTCGACAATACGGTAGCCCGACAGCAAAATCACTGTGTACCAAAAATTGTAACATTAATATTTCAGATACAGTCCGATATGAGGGACTTCAATTTAAGGAGGAATCTTATATTTCAACCCTTGATCCCTGGGTAAAATGTTACGTTTCGATGCTGAGATCACATTTTTCGACGAAAAAATCGTCAAAGTTGACTAACTGTCGTTCAAGTCGGTTCCGATTTTTCTAATTTCAATTCCAATACCAACCAATTCCGACAAATTTCGACCAATTCTAGGAATTGGAATTGATGGAACTGAAAATGGTGCATCCCTACTTGAGATAATTTTCGAGTTATCGATGATCGCGACAGCGTTTTCGAGATGATTTTCGACTATGTCGATCGCATAGGTCAAAAACCAACTTAAAAGCTTATACCGATCACTTAACTCGAAAATCCTATCCCCTGGTAACGTTGAAGTAGATTGAAGTAGCGTTTTCTCCCCGTGGTACACTGTAAAAAATGTCCGTAGAATAGAGAACGGAAAAGGGCTTGTAAGGGGTTGTAGCAAATGAAACAGTCAAAGAACCCTTTTTTGCGTTTTTTGCAGAGTCAAAAAACTGTTGAAGGGTGCTTAGACTCAGTAAAAACCCTTCAACGGTTTTCTGACTCCGCAAAAAACGGAAAAAAAGGTTCTTTGACTGTTCCACTTGCTACAGCCCTTTCTCCGTTTCTCATTTTTTACAGTGGAGAGCCAGCAAATCTTGATCTCTTTTTCAATCGCTTAAAAATCAGCACGTTGTTTACATCGTATTTCAAGGACCAATGAAGGCGGTATCAACACAAGAGGAGCTTGCTATGACTGAGTCATTATTCTACTTTCGCTGATATCATCGAGTTCAGAATTTGGGTGATCGACATTTTATCGCTTGTATCACTGTTTTTTGAGCGCAACACTAAAGAAACATTCTCCATTACGAGAGAATATTTTTTCCCGAAAATTGACTTGATTTCACATGAACACTTACGAGGAAACCTCCCCAGGTTACTTATCGAAAAAAGTGAGATTGATGGCGCGAGGTGGATATTGAGGTTAAAAGAATCAGTCATTTCCAGCAGGCAAGACGCTATAATCAAGTCTGCTTGTAACCCCAATATCCCAAAAAAAAACGTTCCGTTTTCGGTGAAACTTTCAGGATATTCTAATATCCATTAGATCTATCTGCTGGCGAAGTTTCATGTCAAAATTCATCAATTCACTTTTTTCGATAAGTACAGTCCGAGGGTTATATTTATTATTTTTAGGTCAGATCCAGAAGATCGTATTGGTTGGCGTCTTATACATTATAGTTATGATTTTACATTTGGACAAGATATTTCCGAAACTATTAATAGTAATCCAGTTTGCGAACTTCATTCTTTTGGTTTTTTGGAGGTCCAACAGGGATGGTTCAATACGTTTCTTGTTACCATTCTGATGCTTAGAAAGTACTAAGTTTTGGAGATCCTTGCTTCACATTCTTTTAAACAATAACAAAAAAATCTAAAAAGAATCTAAAGTGACAGTTTTGTAGAGAATTGAACGGCGAATCTTTTTAAAAAAATTTGGTTCGATAAGAATAAAAATAACGGAGTTATAGAAAAAACAAAACAGGGCCATTTTACCTGGGACACCCGATAGATTCGCCAGGAGGATGTTTAATAATCATGCCATAAGCATCTAATTTCATAGCCCATCTCGCTAGACGACTGGTAGGATCTTTTACGTTTCTTAACCATTGCAAAGATCTATGATTTGTCCAGACTTCAAATGGACGACCCTCTAAATATGTTCGAAAATGTTGGGTACCCAAACAATGGCTACACACTCACGTTCAGACGCTGAATATTTCCTTTCGCATGGTTGCAGAATTCTACTTGCATAGACGATGACGTGTTCAATGCCATCAATATTCTGAGCTAGCACAACACCTAAACCATAGTCGCAAGCATCCAACTGTAATAAAAATGGATAATTAAAATTTGGATACGCAACTATTGGTGCAGATGAGACGTTTCAATAGCTCAAACGCTTGCTGACATGCTGGTATGATCGCGAAAATTGGATTGTGTTTTTCCCGAATAGAATTAAACAAAGGTGCTGCAACTTCTGCATAATTTTTGATAAATCGCCTATAATAGCCGGTTAGTCCTAGGAAAGCGCGGACATATTTTGCCTTACCAGGGATAGGAAATGATCTTACAGCTTCTAACTTTCCTGGATCTGGTCTAATACCCTGCGCACTTACAATACGACCTAAATATTTAAGTTCTTGTCGAGCAAAGAAACACTTTGATGATTTTAATGTTAAACCATTGATTTTGCATTCTAGATGTATATCCTCGAGATGTTGTTCAAAAGCTGGCGAGTAAATTATTACATCATCCAAATACACTAAACAACAGTTCCACTTTAAATCTCGAAGCACATGATCCATGAGTCGCTGGAATGTTGCTAGCGCATTAGTGAGCCCAAACGACATCACATTAAACTGAAAAATACCTTCATGTGTTACAAAAGGTTTTTTCTTTACTCTCTTCATCTAGCTCGACTTCTCAAAATCCTGATGAGAGATCCATGGTGGTGAAATATTTTGCACCATTTAGCACATCTAGTGTATCATCAATTCTTGGAATTTGATACGTATCCTTCACGTTGATTTCGCTCAGTTTACGAAAATTAACACAGAAATGAAGAGTGCCGTCCTTTTGGGAACAAGAGTCACGGGACCAAAGCTCGGCTCACAGATGCCACCCTTGAACATTTTGGCTGTTGGTTTAACGCATGCTGTCTTTTTTTCAGGGTTCAATAATCTGTATGGACCCTGTCTGATTGGCTTTGAATTACCAACATCAATATGGTGTTTGACTACATTATTACGACCTGATTGTGAAGAGAAAATATCTGAATACTGATGTAACACGTGCCTTAACTGTTTTTCTTGCTCTACAGAAATATCGGATGATGTTAAATCGAGTTTTGAATGTTTTATTAACTGTACTAGCGGTTGATTCTAATTTATTGGTGAGATTTAAAACCAAAGACTGAAAACTGTCTGATTTCGAATCTGTGAAACTTGTCTTCTGTGCTAAAGAATGTATGAACACACTCATAGAAGATTCTGGCCTTACATCGACACTATGATCCGGAACAATGGAAAAAGCAGAAAGCGAAAATAACGAACCAGAATCAGATTCTATGACATCGGTATCAGATGGAATTTTGCTTTTCAAATTTTTAACAGATGGATGTGACGGAACTTGTTCGACGTTGTTAATTCGATCTGAGTTAAATCCTTTTTTTACTATGGGCTTCGGTGATTTCCCTAAATTCTTTGTAGATGTATCAACGTCGCCTTCGAATGTTTGTGCACTAAAAACAGACGGAAACGGGTCAAAATAAGCCAACTTCTGTCCAGAAGGGATATATGTCCATCGCGAAGTCAGATTTGCAACCATCATCGTGGTAATATTTTTATCAACTGTGACAATGCTGTTAGCTGTAGATAAGTGTGTGTTTACATCTGTAGTAGATGCTTCCCACTTCTGATCACTTATCTCTGATGGTGTTCTAACAGAAACAAAAGTCTGATGGAAAGGGGGCAATCTTTTTTTTTTTCTAAGGCATAAACAGGAATATCTAATCTGCCTGATTGATGTAAATCGGTAGATAGAAGAAATTTGGCCAAAGGCTTGTCTCTTAACCAAAACTTGCGATTCTAAATATCGAGTACTAGACCAGTTTCAAACATAAAATCTGTACCTAGTAACACTTTTTGGTTGAATTTAGATGCGAAGATAACGAGATGATGGAAGTTTTGGCCAGCTATGGTTATACTAGCTTCTACCCAGCCAACTGGCTCAATAGAACTGCCTTCAGGACCGGCAATATCGGCACCTATTAAAAGATGCCAATAATCTAAACTGGCTATACTGACACCGGCACCAGCGTCTAAAGTGAAAAGCCCGACTGTGCCAAGTAATTTTTCTTGGGCGGAGGCACAACCTCGTTTAATTGTGTAAGAATTATTTGATAAAATGATATTTTCTTTGATTTTGCTCTCTAATTTAACAATGGTAGTAATAAAACCGGAAGATTCAGAAGATGAAGCAGATAGGGTTTCCTTTTCAGACTCATCTTTGCTTTTTAACTTTTCTGTCTTTTTTTTTATTTCTTTGTTTTGAATGAAGAAGATTTTGAAGAAGAGTCAGGCTTAAGAAAGACTTGATTCTGGAATAGCAGGTGGTGGTGACAACACGACTGAAGATGTTTTCGATGAAAAAAGAGGAAGAAGACAGATGTAGAGGATCAGAATTTGATTGAGAAAAATCATTTACACAATGACTCGACTGCAACAATGTAGTAAGAGATTTTAGAGCTTCCATCTTGCCTTTCTCTTTAGATTGTACGAATAAGGATTGATAAACAGAATGGGAAATTGGCTTATCCTCACTTAGCCGCTCCCTTTCTAGTTTAAATTATTAGATTTTTACGTATTTTTAGAATCGTCACCCGAATAAGGAGGTACAATAGACGGATTGCGCGGATTACTGTTTTGTTTTTATGGACAGACATTTGCGATGTGTCCAGTTTGTTTACAAATATGACAACGGACATGGCAATCCCGTTTCCAATGTCCTTTTCATGACAAATGGGGCACGGTCCCGGTGGTAAAAAATGAAACAGATGATGCTATGATTGATATTTTCGTATCACATTTCAGTTTCTATGAAGTGAAGCATTTTAAAAGCATAGGTCAGCACTTCCTTTCTTTGACTGAGTAACTTATGATGTAAGATCACCATTTTTTTACTCAAACTGTATGTTAAGACGGAAGGGAACTCAGTTTTTCGCCTCGTTGAATCGAGCTCTGCTTGTTTTTGTCTGTATGGCCGGTAATTATATGTTGAGCAAAAAAGGCACATTTTGAGTTAGATAGTGCGCTAAATTCTTTTTATCAAGGTGAAAATCCATGCACTCTGATTTCGTGCCTTTTGACGGAAATTAACTTTTCGCATTTACTATAAATCAGTACTGGTGAGACCTTTAGTTGTGTTACAGTCGTAAAAAATAGTCAAATGTTCGAAATCACTGTCGCTAGACAGTAACAGATAATAGTATACCACCACGGCAATAAGAACCTTGTAAGGTGAAGAATTTTATTGAAACACCATAGCTTAAGTTATACAGATTTTACGGAATTCTTGTGTTGCATGAAAAAGTTTTGCACACATGTTGATTAAATACGATTTTTTGAAAAAAAAATACAATGAACGAAGGATATTGTTATAAAGTATTCATTCATGAGCATGATTATGACTTTCTTCAGAAGAAACGGAGCGTCGTCGACGACTGAATGGGAAACAAATCCAATGATTTCCTCCATATCGACAATAGGTATTAGCCATTCGTGCATTATCTGGACAATGACAATGACCATTGCGTTCTCCGCCTCGTTGACATTGACAATTACGCCATGGATAATGTGGAGTATCAGCCATCAGACTCATTGTAGTAAATAGTAACTGCTCCGCCTCTATTTGCAATTCATGCATATAACTGTGTATGTTTTCAACGGTACGATAATATGTTCCAGCACTCTTTGATTCTAATTCTGGAATTGTACGAATAGCATCCATATCATCGATTAATTTCTTTATATCTTCTAAAGCACGATCTTTACTTCTTTTGAAAAGTTCTTCAATTCTGACGTTTATCTCATCGAAATATTTCATAATTTTCATAATAAAATTATTATAAATTTCATTCAGATTTGTAAAGATTTCTTCACAGATCCTATTTGTACTGTACTGATTTGAGACAGTAAATCTTCTTTTCAACATATGAGTATATGTGAAAATACGATCTTGTAGTGGAGAACATTCTTTAGCTGATCTCAGTATTTCCATATAACTTTTAAGAATTTCAATATCATCGTTACTTAATCGAATCTTTTGTAAAAGTGTATCTGTTCTCTCCGAGAAACTACTTAGGTACTGCAAGAGCGATTTGACGATGTTGTAATATGTCTCTTCAACTTTCTCATCTAAATGATCTTTCAGAATATGCGAAGATTTAAATATATATTCAAGGAGGAGAGTGCTCACTGTAAATTTATTTCGTAAAAAATATCTAAATTTATTTGATGACAACAACAACAGTTTAACAAACGTCACTATTCTAGCAGACAAAGTCTATAGCGAGTAGTGAATAAGAATTTTAACGAAAATGAGAACTAGTGTTATGCGCGGAGGGGTGAATTTTCCGAAACATTTTTAGGATAGAAAAGTTAGAAAGCTTTAGGGAAAAATCAATGTTATATATGGTTCGATACAGCTTGACGAGCTAATTTTTAATATCATGTTGCTTTTGCGCTAAAATGTTATATTAGTCGCAAAAAAATGCCTTTGGGGCCAAAACCCATGGTTTTTTGGAAAACCTGTAGCACAATCCAGAATCACTGCCGCTAATTGGCGCTATGGTCAATGGTAGAGCACACATAGAGGAATATTTGGCGAAAGGTTGAGCTTGATTGAACTTTAGCTGTTTGTAGCATTTACAAAATACAGAATGATGCATTTTTGATACTTACTTTTAGCCTAGTAGATTTTTTTTTCTGTAGAAATTTGAATTCAGGTTAAACGATCTTTTCATTAAAATGCAGCTCATAGATGAATAATTCTTTTCAGATAGTTTTTCAAATCAAAGTATTCCAATAAGTTAGCCAAAAAATTAACTTTATCTGAGGATAGAGATTTTTGAACAAATTTCTTAGTATGTGTTTTTCCAACGTTCAACATAATTTCTGAAAATGCTGTTTTAGGACAAGATAGATCAAAGACAGAAGTAATTATTCCAATGCTTAAACTTTGAAAAATATCACTTTCGTTTTATGTTCGCCTAGTTGCCCACTGTGACCCGTTCGTTCGATGTCGGGGAACATTAATTATTTCTAGCTTTTACTCGCTTTAAAGCTTTTTCTCTGAAGTGAAAAACTAAGAGAAAAATTCTTTTTCTGTCTTGAAAATAATAGAATTTTGCCCTAACTGAATGCTCTATCTACAGTAGAATAATTTTCAGATAAAATCTAGTCCATCAGATAGCCCGCTAAAAGTTTGTGAAAGACATGCCATTTTTATTAAAAAGCTAATTGATGTTAGAGGTAATAAACGAAAACCAAGTTTTCGTTACGCTGCAACACTATAAATGAGATGGTTTTGGTTATTTTCCCTAAGAAAAATATCAAAATTCGATTGATGTCTAGAATGATACTCCAAACATCATAAATTTAATTAGCAACTTTCAGTGTTTTATCGAGTTATGTCGTTGGTTTGCTATAGCATTTAACTATATTAGTCAAACCGAAAACTTTTGCTCTTAAATCACTGACACACTTCAGATTGCTAAAAAAGCACATTGGTAGACCATTTCAAAAGGGATAAAAAATGTTTCTATGAGTGGTGTCAGAACTGAGCATATTTTCTTCCGGTTCAACCAGAATCTAAAATATTGCTCAGTTCTTAAAATATTACTTTTTTTCAAAATAAAACGGGGTCTAACTCCAAGATTTCTTATTCAAAGGATTCCTCAACAACAAGTGTTAAATATGACGTTACGCTCAAAAGATAGAGATCAAATAAACCCTTTTCGTGCACATACGCAAAAATTCAACAATACCTTTTTTCCCTGGGCTGTAAGACAATGGAATG